AATACCCAACGTTTCATGACTCTATTTTCTTCAAGGAATTTAATTATGCTTCTAAAAATTCACATAAACCCAAAGGAACTAATATGGTGCTTTACTTTTTTACGGGCAAAAATAATGTTAAAATTCATGCTCCATAACTAAAAAGAAAATACTCTATTTTTGGTTGAAAAAGGAAGAACTTTTTCTACAACATGAAAATAACGTACTCATTTTGTTGAAATAAAAGAAAATACTTTTTCTAAGTCATGAAAAGAAAATACTCATTTTGTTGAAATGAAAGAAAATATTTTTTTTGTTGAAATGAATGAAAATACTTGTTCTATGAAAATAAAGTACTCCTCTGTTCCAGTTTATGTGAACCTATTTCCTTTTTGGTCCGTTCCAAAAAGAATTACCCCTTTCTAAATTTGGTAACAATTTAGCTTAAGCTTGCAATTCTATCCTTAATGAGAAGCTTTTATAATCACACAAATACTCTGGGCCCCTTTTTGACTTGTTTAGGACCACAAATTTCAAAAGTCTTTATTTTTTCTTAAACACCGTGCCCAGTCAAATATGTTCACATAAATTGGAACAGAAGGAGTACTTTTTTTGTTGAAATGAAAAAAAAATATTTTTTTATATCATGTAAAAAAATTACTCATTTGTTGAAATGCAAAAAAAAATCTATCGATAACATGAAAATAAAGTACTATTAATAATATTTTTATTTATGATGGGGTGGGGGGCGAAAGGGTTGGGTGGGTAGGCGGCGGTGGGGTGGGGCGGGGATTGGTGTGGGATTGGGTGGGTGGGTGTGGGTGTGGGTGTGTGGGGGTGGGTCGGTGGGGATGGGGAATAGGGTGGGGAAGGCTGAGAAGGAGTTTTGAAAAATATTTTCCCTTCTCTTGATAGGGAAAACATTTTCCTCTAATTACAGGAAAATGAGTTGATCAGGAAAATATTTTTCAAAACATTTAAACCAACCAAACATGAAAAAATTGAAAAACATTATCCGGAAAACGTTTTCCATCGTACCAAACACACCCTAAATACAAAACAATTGGTAAGTCTCTCTGTATCTACATGGATCAAAGATACGTTAGTTATAGATTATATCATACAGATGGTCTCTAAAGTTCGCTTATATTAAATTGTCGATTATATTAGTATTTAGTAGAAATTACAAAAATTCTCTTACCTAGTTATTTTCATATTTCTTGCTTGTTTTTTTTTTTAAAGACATCCTAGATTGGATAAATTTCTTTTGCTTGGATAAATTTCTTTGGTATCTGAATTAGGTGAAATATTTCCAAATTTTCTTTAGAAACGATCTATTAGTTTATCACAAATTGCCTAAATGAAGTCAATTCAAACGTGAAATGTGACTCGTATTAAAGTCCTAACTCACAAACCTTGATAAAATTCGTAGATATAATCCAATTTTGATTTTAGAAAATATGAAAAATTATAGTACTTTATAATCATAACAAAGCAATAGAATCTAATAATCAATTTTGGAATGCAGTGAGAAGTAGTCTCAAACTCATTTTGACAAATAAAAGGTAACAAAATGAAATGCTAAATTGCTTATAAATGATATGAAGTTACTTAAATATTCCTAATTAACGTGAAAATTTTCTCGAGTTTTTTTACAGATTTAAAGTAAAAGGGCATTGTTTCCTCATCTCAAAAGATTGGGGAGTTAACTAGAAATACAAGTAAAAGTAACTGATCAGGAATATTCAAATGAAACTGATGATGTATAGTAAAGTACACTTGGGCGGCATTTGACAGCTTCCAAATTAGATTCAACAACTCAATAAAAAGTTTGGTAAGTATATAGCACTTAGACAACTAGTTCGTAGTCAAAAATCTTACATGAGAGAATAAAGTTATTTAACAAAGTCGATTTTATATTCAAAATCCGAACTCAAAATCTTTAATTAAGGATAAAAGATCCACCACAAATATTGGTGTACGGGTAAATATTTAGTGTACCTCATCATTTTTGCCAAATGTACCGCAACTATGTTTATTTAAAATAAAATTCAAAACTTTGAAGTTTTTCTTAAATTATTTTATATTTTAATTGGGGGATAGGGGTGGGGTTGGGGGTATTTGGGGGGGGGGGATTTTGCTTTTTATAATTTTAAAAAAGTTCAACTCGTACCAAACGATCCATCAAATTGTGTACCTCGTGCAACATATCTTATCTCTCAGACTGAACTGTTTTTTTTTTTGTTGCTATTTTTATTTTGTCGTTTGATGTTGATGATCTTTTTCTTGTAAGTTGAATTTTTTTTAATTGATTAATAGCATGTTGTTGTGTGATGGTGACATTAGACGAATTCACTAGTGACCAAATCTTGTATTAATATATATGCATGTTGCATTGATTCCCTACCACTAATGCACTTGTTATTTTATCTTATTTACACTTTGATATGTAAGAATTCTTTTTCTTTGTTTTATTTCAACGACTTTATTTGAAAGACATGATAGGCCAGTGTATAAATATAAAAATGAAGAAGGCATTGATTCTACAGCTATTTGTTCTATATTTATGGGCCTTAATTTGATTTAAGAATGACATATATGTGAATATTAAAACGATATTATAAACATTTTAAGGGAGATTGGTGTGAGTTGGCAACCAAACCTTGTAACTTTCTCCTAACCCAAAATCCCAAATTATTGGGACCAAATCTGATGTTTTATACTTCAATAGCACACAAGAGGGGGGGGGGGGGGAAGGGTAATTTGTGTGGTACCCAATTTTTCGCTTAACTTGATTATAGAAGGACCTAGTTCTTCTATGTGTTCCAATACTACTGTTGCGGAATAATAAGTATAGAAATTAAAGAACACAAAGATTTTACGTGGAAAACACCTGGCTCAAAAGGTGAAAAAACCACGGCCTACTTTCCAGTAGGATTTTCCCAAACTCTCCACAAAAATCACTGAGCCAAAAACTGCATTTACAAAAACTCTTTTGTAAACATAGGATTACTCTGATCCCGTTGTGGCACACAACCTCAACTGTTGCGACAACTTCAAGTTAACTCTAACTTGAAAACTCTGAGTACCTAATACAGTTGTTTCTAGATAAAGCTGAAAGGTACAATATGAAAACACCTACTACAATTGAACTAGAAATAAATGACAGACACTTGGAACTGGTTCTTCTATCAGGTTCAAGCAGCTTCATGTTTGCACGCTTGAATCACACACAAATTGCCTTGCTATTTTGCTCTCAATTTACGTTCAGCTTCTGCTTATGTGCGTTACCTGTAAAAGAGAACAACACTGATATTTATGGAGTTAGTAAATAGAGGTTAACTAGAATTCTGATGCTACTCTTCCTTGGTGGAAGAGTTCTAGTTGATCTCATCCTCTAACTCTATCCTTCTCTTAAGCCGTGTTCTCTTTGTGTAAGGAGTCTTTTTCCTTATCCAATATTGCAACCTTTTCAATCATGATCAGGAGATATCACTTCTGGTAAGGTAGGTTTATCTCCTTCACGTGCATCTCACATGCTTTTCCTGAGTTGACCACATCTGTGCTTCACCAGGATGGACCTGGTCCATGTCTGAGTTCCTTTGTCAGTCTTCAAAACTCACCTTTACTTGGGCCAACAAATCCCCCCTTTTTGATGATGACAAACTCTTTGCTTTTCATTCACTTAGGCCCTGTCAGAACTCAGCTCAATCATCAATGCAAAGTTAGAAAATTTTCACGTATCATCAAGGACCAGGTTCATTAGGTTATAAATATCACTTATTCAGAGTATAAAGCACAATATCTCTTCCCCCTTTTGGCATCATCGAAAAGTTGCATAAACTTAGTGTGATTCCCAGAATTTTAGCAATTACTCATGGCCACTGGGGCAACTGCAAGTGCAATCATGGATTAATCATCATAAATCAAATAAACATAATCAAACTATCAAGGAAATACAAACAGTCAACAAGAGCAAAAACAACAGATTTCATTGATAGATAATATGATTCTACCACAATCCACAAAAAGAAACAAAAACAGTCAAAACATGAGCAAAACAAGAAAAATCCCTAATTTGGTCACTGAAAGGTCTAGACACCTAGCAAGGATTGAAGGCTAGGGAAATTAAGGCTTGGAAGAGCTGGAGGGTTGGGTTTTGGCTTGGAGAAGGTGCAGCATATTTTGAAGAATGCCATCATTCTTCTCCTTTTCCTTTGTGAGCTCAGTTCTGAGAGCATTTCTCTCAGATTCAACCTCTGCTAAACGAGCCTTCAACCTAGCTATCTCAGCTTCCTTTGCCCCACTCTCCTGCACTAGAGTTCTGACCTTTCTATTAATGGGTGTCTTTTTAGATGAACCAGGTTCATTGGGAATTGCATTGACCTTATAGTCACAAGCAATCAAAGTGTTGATGCCAAAATGGTCTTTGCTTGTGGCATCTCCCACTTCTTTAGTGGAACCTTGCACCGATCAAGAATAGTAGTCAGAATAAACCCATAAGGGGTGGCATGGGCCTTGGAGCCATTGATCACCCTATCAAGCAGCTTGATCATAAATGCAGGCCAGTTGATCTGCCTTCCACTTTCAAGACACTCCATCAACACCAAATCCATGTAGTTAGCAATGTGTCTTCTTTCCTGCCTGGGCAGCAAATATTTGTTGACAAATTCAAACAAGACTTTGTGGCATGGCTTCATTTCACTCTTGTACACGACATTGGCTTCATTCACATCAGGGACATACAAAACCTCCTAGTGATGGCAAGGGCAGTAGGAA